TAATAATAAAAAATAATAATAAAAGATATATCTAAAATCTTCAATGTCTTAAAAAAATAAGTGAAAACCAGTGAAAACCTTGGTACCATTTCTAACAGAATTTCTTTGGCATGTTATTCCTAAACAGGAGCAGAACAGTAACAGATGAATAGCAACAGTACCAAGGATGGGCAGCTGTGGCCTACGCGGAGTGGGTTCTATTGAAAGTCTTTTGGTTTTTCAATTTGGGGGCTCAGGGCTCAGGGCTCCCTCCAGGTGGGGCTTGGGGGAACCCCCCATGAGGTGCCAGGGATGCGAGCACCCTACCCGCTATACTATCTCTCCTTCTCTAGAAGACAATCCTGTGGGACCTCATCCAGGAGGGTTTCGCTGGAGCTGTCCAAGCAGGGAGTATGTCTGTGGTACAGAGGACAGGAGAGGCTGGGGGTGTTGCTCACCAGCACCGCCCTCAGTCTTGTTTTCATCATTCACAAAAGCAAGGGGGTTGAGGCTCTGAAACCCCCTGCCATCAAAATCTCAACCTCTGAAACTCATGAATGACAGTGGCTGGAAGCTTGATTCCCATCAACATTAATGACAGGGAAGACCAAGCAACCACTGGCTCTCCTGCACAGTCCAGTCTAAACCAAAAGCCGTATCCCTCTGGCCTGAAATGGGCTTTCTTTTACCATCTTTCCTGCCCTTAGTTCCCTTGCTACGGGGCCTCATATTGTCCTGTCTAAGCACCTGGTTTGCTAGATGGTAAATAAGCCAGAGAGGTCCAATGACTTGGCTGGACCACCAGAGTTAGTTAGTGATGAGCAGGGACAGAAGCCACATCGGCTCTTGTCAAGTCCACCTAGGGTGCCCTTCACTCCTGATAATGAGCAAAGCACAGAACCAAGAAAAAGAAGAGCTGGAGTGATATTACAGCGGGTAGGGTGTTTGTCTTGCACTCGGCTGACCCAGGTGAAATCCCCAGCATCCCATATGGTCCCCCAACCACCACCAGGAGTAACTCCTGAGTACAGAGCCAGGAGTAACCCCTGAGCATAACTGGGTGTGACCCCCCAAAAAAGAGGGTCTGGGGAAAGGGGTACATTTTGAGAAAGGCGCACCAGCTAGGAAGCAGTCACAAGGGGTGGCTGCTCTGTTCCAGAAACATGAGTGTGGATATGACTGTCACAGGCACAGGGCGGGCTTCCAATCAGACACGTTTCACATCTCTAGTCTAAAGCCCAAAGGAAAGTCTGAAGCCGTGGAGGGGAGAGCCCAGATATTCTGGATGAGATCTGGAGAAGAGATAGAAGGTTGGTGGAACGTGACTAAAATTTTCTTAACCAAGAAAAATCAATCCAAGGAGAGAAGGATGGTATAAGTCGGCCCGGGGTACAATTGCAGCTTGGTGAATGGAATGGCATGTGATCAGCGACACACAGTTTCTTGACATTCTAGTGAAAAGAATACTGAGGGAAGTGATGGTTGGGCCAGCACTAACGAATAAAGCCTAATTCTGACATCCATGATGGGTCTCAGGAATAACAAAAGTGCTCAAACAGTTCGGGTTCACTTTTGCTCCAATCAGGGTTGGGAGGATTCAAAGGAACCAGTGGAATGTGAATTTTATGAAAACAATCATCCTGACAGAGGAATCACTCACAATGCAGGAATGTACACAGAAATCTTAAAAACCTTAATGGAGGCCTAAAAGGGGATTCAAAGCAACACAAATGGTCTGGTTCTATGAGTTAAGAACATTTAATTAGGAGAAAAAAAATATATGACTGGTTCTCAAAGGAAATAAATGATATGTCTTTAATGAAATTTCACTAAATTTCACCTTCAATGAAATGTCATTAAAAATCTGTTCTTTAGGAGAAATGGAAGAAGCACAGGAACAAAATAACAAATAACAAAAACAAATAACAAAAATTAGGTTTTTCTGGGTCAAAGAGACAGCTCAATGGGCTGAGCATATGTTTGGCATGCAAGTGGTCTGGGTTCCATCTCTGCCACATGGGCCCCTAAACACTGCAAGGAGCAACCCCAAGTACCACTGAGTATGGCCCCCCAAAAAAAAAACAAAAAGGAGAAAAAATATTTTTCTCTGAAGGAACATCATCAAAACATATCTGATTTTTATAACAAGGAACTCTGAGAAATAGTATTCATGGTAATAAAGACAAGCTTAGATACAGTATTACTGAAACAATATAACACACCAATTAAAACATATTAGGAAAAAGGAATGTATTTATACTGAAAAATAATGAACATGGGAATCCTGAGTTTTCTCAGCTATAAAAAGAACACAGTATCCATCTGAAAGGTTGTCATAATGATTAAATAAGACACATAAAATTCTTAAGACCATTTGACACACAGTGCTTAATAAATGGTAGTTTCTATGATTATAACCAAGATGAAGAATGACTTTCTAATAAGGGTTTCAAAAGGAACAGTCATCACCCCTCCCTGCCAACTCCAGTTGGGGCATACCACATAATAATTACCAGCCAATCATCGAACTCCGGATTATTCTCTAGGTCAGCATTTCTCAATTGGGGCCATATGGCTTCATGTGTGCCCCCCCAAGATGACTCCCCGGGGGAAATCCTGTAGATCAGATGGGCGGTGGGGAACAACTATGGTACCAGACTAGGGCGCCAAGAGGCAGCACAGGAGACCCCAGGAAGGAAACGAGGCTGGAAGAGGGCCAGCGCCAGGGAAAGGTTGAGAAACACTGTTCACAATCAAGGAAGTAACGTATCTGGAAACCAAGGCTTCCAGAAAAAAGTTTCCTGAGTAGGCAATGATTAGCAAACAACATATTTTGATGTTATCAATGGTCAGTGCTGATTACAGGGCTCATTTACAGGGGCACAAAAGGTTAAAAAATGAGTGTGTGTGGGGGAGACAATGTAAGTATCTTAAAAGTTAAAAGTTGCTATGACACAAGTCCTGATGAAAAGTAAAAAATACTTCTAACCAAGACTGAAATTGGGGCCGGACAGATAGTACAGTGGGTAGGGCGTTTGCCTTGCACGCAGCAGACCCAGGTACAGGTTTGATTCCTGGCATCCCATATGGTCCCCCAACACCACCACGAGCATCACTGGGTGTGACCCAAAAAGCAAAAGAAAAAAAAAAGACTCTGAAATTAAAAATCACCAAAGTCTGTCACCTTCTCACCTACCAGCCAGGCACCAACCACTGATTTCCAGAATCATTTATTATCGGAGAGTCTTGATCGCTTGGGGTTTTTTTTCTTTTTTTTTTTTTTTTGCTTCCTGTTTTTTTTTATAAGGCATTTAATTCCTTTCTGCTCCCAGTATGGACTTTATTTTGAATTCAGCTATCCTTGCCCCCTTTAGAGTCAGGGACAGTATTCCATATTCACCTAATCCTAGAAATCAAAGGCAACACAAACAAACAAAAAATGAACGGGGAGGGAGTGATGTGGGGAGGAGGGTAAGGTGACAAAAAGGAAGCAAGTTGCTCCAGCCCGGGGAATGTATTCTTGAGCAGAACCATCAAGGCTCCTTAAGGAAAGGCAAAGCGGAAGGACTCCATGGAGGAGTAGGAGTTGAAAGAAATGAGAGAAACAGGGGCTGGAGTGATAGCACGGCAGGTAGGGCACTTGCCTTGCACGCGGCTGACATGGGTTCGATGCCCAGCATCCCATATGGTTCCCATGCACCACCAGGAGTAATTCCTGAGTGCAAAGCCAGGAATAACCCCTGAGCGTTGTCAGGTGTGACCCCAAAAAAAGTGAGAGAGAGAGAGAGAGAGAGAGAGAGAGAGAGAGAGAGATCCATCTGCAAAATGGCCATTCCCATACAAAGGAGAACAAAGCTCTTGAGGGCTGGTGGATGGAACAGGACTATTTCGGCTCTTCTCACTCCTCATTTGCAGGAATGCTGTTAACAAAGCCATCTCTTTACAAAGGTTCTGAAAGTTGCCAAAGGGTTTATGAATCGATATTTCTTTTTAAAGTGTAGATTTGGCTTCCTCTGAGACCATATGGACAACATATGTTTCCCTTCTTCTCGGGAAAACATCAATAAATAAGAACTTGGGTTTTGTTACCATGTCCTCTGTCCTGATACTGTTCTTCCTTATCAACAGCCCCCAATATGATCCCCTTCCGACCATCATACTGATTTTAGCAGTAAAATACAGATCGCTTCTTGAATCACAAAGCTCACAAAGATGGCTTGGAGACCCAAAACCAGACCGATCCAGGCCATCCATCCCATCCCAGTTTCTCCATCCGACAAGCAGGCTAATGGCTCAGAAAGAAAAATGAATGCCCAACCAGCCTCTGAGGCACATAGATAAGAAAAATTTTCCCATCTTGGTCATTCCAGGCACCAGCGACGATGCCAAAATCTGCCATGGACCGTTGATTCACAAGAGGTTCTAAGCTTTTAAAATCACATACAAGTAATCAGCAACTCGTATGCCAGGGATCATGGGCCACATTCATGATGGCTTCTTTTGTCAAGGAAGCGAGAAAGCTGTATTATTTCGGTTGCCTGGCAATGCTTATCTGTCCCGTGGAACTGTAGAGTGCTCAGATCCCTGTTAAAGGCTGTGGAAAGTCCACAGAACTGGTATCTCTGTTACAGAGAAGAAAAGGGGAAGCTGCTCTTGCTAGAATGTCTTTATCAGATGCTCCCGGTTTGGTCTCAACCAGACGTGCCCACCACTGGGAAGGATCCCAGGAACACACCGGACTGGTCACAGAAAGATGGACTTTCCCCAGGAATAAGATTGGTCCCCTGCGTTAGCACCAATCTCTCACTGTTTAATTCTCCACCGGTTAAATTACAGCTTCTCTCAGAAGGGAGAGTGGAAACTGAGATGGAAGACGTGTTGATTCTGAAGAGGAAGCTCCAAGGCCTAATATGCCCGATTTTTCGCCAGGCACGCGCAGCATCTGAGCTGTTACAGGAAAGGGGTGGTGGGATCAATTTCAACGAGCAGCAACTCTGGGTCCTGGAGCTTCCGGGGTCCACCCTCGGCCTCACGGGCCCACCTGGACCCCCATCATGGGCACCATCTCTTCGATCCACAGCAGGTCCAACGGGGCTGAGGCGCGAGTGTGCCGGTGGTGGATCCGACGTAGCCGCAGGAGGTACAGGACGATGGCCAGCAGCACCACCAGGATACAGGCGAAGAAGAGATAGTGGTTGTAGACGAAGGAGAGACGGAGCCAGCTCCCGTGGGCCTGCCGGACCCCTTCTTGCCGTAGATCCCTAGGGGCGAGTTGGGAGGTGGACACAAGTGTTAGTTTCAGAGGGAAGCAGAGAAGATAGAGGGCTGCTTGGTCCATCTGTGCCGAAGGAGGAGTGTAAAGCTCTGCAGGGGGCCCAGGGGCCACCTGCACCCTCCTCACCTGCCTGCAGAGGGAGCCTCTGAGCCAGCCCACTCCTAATTCCAATAACAACCCAACCACCAAAAAAAAAAAAAAACCACTAGCTTCCTGCCTCTCCAAAACCACTAGTTGCCCCCCAGGAGAGGCTCTCCGATTGGTCATGGCCCCAAGGCACACGGACCCAACTTGGAACCCAGCGCTTTTGGCAGAAACCCCCCCAGACTTAATTAGTAAAATATCAGAAATTCAAAGTCGCGTGGCCACTACTACACTGTCATATGCTCTTCATAACCAGCAATAGAAAAAAAATTATTTGACGATGCCGTTTCAGCAGGTCTGATTGTTGGGGGAAAGTTCCAAATAATAATGGTCCATCTTTTGTAGAAATAATGAATGTAATCAAAGTAGAGAGAGAGTTAAGTGGCAATCATCTGCCTCACAGGCAGGGGGGAGGGCGGGATGGGAGGTATATTGGGGTTGTTGGTGGTGGAAAATGTGCACTGGTAAAGGGATGGGTGTTTGATCTTTGTATGACTGAGACTTAAACCTGAAAGCTTTGCAACTGTTCTCACAGTGATTCAATAAATAAATAATTTTAAAAAACCCTAAAATGAACAAACAAAACAGTGAAGACAAAAATCAGCATAAAGCTAAGTAATGGCTCTGTCCCTCACTGGTCTATAAATTTTGTAAATATGGTACTTGCAGAGGAAAGGGTGTCCCGGAATCCAAAAAATCAAAGTATGTTTAATTTAAAAAAAAAAAAATTTTTAAAGGCTGGCCGTTCTTCCTGGGTTATTTAGGAGGTAACAAGATAGCCAGGTCAACAGCACTGTAATCTGGAAAAAAAAAATGTAAAACAGTGTTCAAGTGTCTGCCTGTCCAGGATGAAAGCAGCTCACTGAGGAAAATGATACCAAGATCCATTTTTGTTTTGTTTGACCCACAGCGCAGAGTTTAGGTGCAAAAATCCAAACTGAAAGATGACATTATGAAACATGGATTTCTGGTTTCTCTTGACCCACACATGAGAACTGGCAGGTGCTCGGGCCAGCACATCTGTGTGACAGAGATCAGAGAGAGGTACTCGTCTGAGGCATGAGCTTCCCAGGTCCTCTCTCAGTACCTGCCAGCTGCTAAAGGTGCCAGGCCGGGATTTTCCCTTGGTTTATTGGAAATAATCCTGCACTGCGAGTATGTAGAAATTATCCCAAACACCTTATGGTACATAAGATTGGGATGACCACAGAAGATAAAAATAGCTCCCCCCAAAAACATCTTGTGTCTCCTATTCTGTGTCATCAAAAATCTTCCAGGTTCCCAATGACACGATCCGTGTCCAGAGGCACTACCATGAGAAACCAACCCTCTGGACAGCAGACTGGAACCCGAGTCAGACATGTGTCCCAGGGTAACCTAATAACAATGCCTGGGGGACGGGGTGGGGAAGGGGTTCAGGGGTACATAGGGAAATGGGTCCAGAACATGTGTAAGAACCCAAATCCCAAATATCCAATGACCACACACATCCATGGAATATGGGATGACAAATGACAAATCATGGGAATCGACTGGGAACAACGGCAAACCCTTGGCCTGGGATGATAAAACAAAGAGTGGGAGGTGAAAGGGGACTGGTGAGGGGGGATGAAGACAGACCAGAGGTGACCGAGGGACAATGGCAGAAAATGCAGTGGGCACTTCGACAGTGATAAGATGCTGTGACTTTGCATATTGATACCAGAAGCTTTAACATGATTATAACCATATGACCTAAATTAAATATTTTTAAAGGGTTGGAGTGATAGTTCAGGGATTAAGGCACTTGCTTTGCCAACACTGTCTTGATCGCCGGCACCACATATGGTCCCTGTGCCCCGCCAGGAACAATCCCTCAACACAGAACCAGGAGTAAGCCCTGAGCACCACTGAATGTAGCCCAAATCCCACCCTCATCCCCAAATTTTTTTTTTTTTGGAAAGACCAAATTCCATCTCTCCCTACGTAACACCACTCTCACCACCATCCCCTTCCAGTACCCCCGGGCAGAGGAGCACCCACACTGCCAGGCTGAACACGGAACTATCCAGTCTACTTGGCCAAGCGTCGCCAGGAGTAGCCCCTGGGCTCCCAGACACTGCTTGGCAGTTCCTTCCCCCAAAGAATGGAGTGTCCGTTTATCAGTCAGCAGGGTAGTAAGAAGAACTCAATCCTAAAGGCTGATTTGCTGTGGATTTCCGAGATTGTGGAGCTAAGAAACAGACTCCAGCCTATACCTCTCCGGAGACCTTTCTGCTTTGACATAAGTCACCAGTCATAACATTTCATGTGATAGTGACAGGGGCTCAGCAGCCTGGTGGCGGGAGGTATGTGGATCATTTACATCTCTGTGGTGCCAATGAACACCCAAACTCAAGGGGGCAGCTTGAAGTGTTTACCTGAGTGGCAAGAAGCGTGTCTTATAGAGAATGGCTCCTAGGGTCCACTGGACCTCGCGGTCATACACCAGCTGGGCTGTCTGCAGGTTTGGATAGTCGTAGGGAAAACGGAATCCTTCATGAAGGACTTGGTACACCCAAGCTGATTTGAAACACTGATATCTGTGGTGAGAAAGGGGGTAATGTTTTCTTAAAGACGGAAAGAACAAGTTCTCGGGTGTTCCTTTGCACACTACGTGTGGATGTCAGAGGAGTCCCGTTTCTCCCCATTTCACACCTCGGCCAACACTTCATGCTTCACACTTCAAAAGCTCAGCCAACTGAATCATCTCAGTGATCACTGAGAAAGAGAAGCACCTTCAAGTGATGATGAACTTGCGGCTGTTCTCTCTGCTGGCTTTGTGCATTTCTGCAGTGCCGGGGATGGACGCTCACACAGAATAGGCATGTGTCTTACCATGGAGACACATCCCTAGGCCAATCTTCTATATATATATATATATATATATATGTGTGTGTGTGTGTGTGTATATACATATACACATATATATACATATATATGAACACAATTTCATTGTTCTTTATATTTTATAAATATATATGTATATTTGTGCCATTATCCTCAAAGAACACAATGAAATGTCTACAAATGGATCATGTGGTTTCAAGGACCAGCTTCAAAATAACACACATGGGCTTGGGAGAGTTGGGAGTGGGAGAGCGAAAGAAAAGATCTGCCCGGAGTTGGTGATGGCAGCTGGTAGCAAAAGTAAGATGACAGGACTTCATTCTACAGTTTTATTTTTGTTTAAAAACAGTTTTCTAACTAAAACACTTACAAAACAAGAGGGCTGGTGAACCAAACCAGCAAAATACTGCTGGTAAAGCTTGGGTGGTAATGGGGGACAGAGTGAGAGTATGGCGGGTAGGGCATTTGCCGGCTGGGGTTCGATCTCCGGCATCCCATATGGTCCCCTGAGCACCGCCAGGAATGATTCCTGAGTGCGGAGCCAAAAGTAACACTGCCTGGTGTGACCCAAAGAGCAAAAAAAAAAAAAAAAACAACTCGGGCGGTAATAACCTGAGAGTTTATGTTCACACTTTATAAAAATCTACACTTTTGACATTTTAATGAAAGGGTGTGTTTTTCTTAGTAAATAGACCACCTCTTTTGATTGTGAAGAACTCAAGAGAGCTTCGGTAACCAATGGTTTCCCTGGACTTATGCTAAAGCAGGCTCCATATTTTTGGCTACTGTTCCACAGAAAACCAAAATTCAAATGATCACACTTTCCTTCAATATAAAATCCAGTCTGGGGTCACAGAGTCAGTACCACAGGCAGGGTGCTTGCCTGGCACACACCCCACCCAGATCTGCTCCCTGGCACTCTTTGCCTGAGCCCTGCCAGAAGTGATCCCTGAGCACTGAGCCAGGCGTTAAGCCCTGAGAACTGCCAGCTATGCTTCCCACACCACCACCCCCCCCATTTTTTTTTTAAACACTAAAATCCACTCTACAGAACTGCTCCTTTTCCACCTTCCCGTGTAAAGCCTCATCTGTTGCAGGGTAAGGGCTGGGGGAGTCAGGCAGAAACTCACTTGAGTCGATGTTCATCTGCGTGTGACGAAAAGAGACCATTCTTGAATCTCTGCGTCAGAACTGGCCAGGCCATGCCACAGTAATCCTGGAGCAGTCACAAAGAAACAGCGCGAGATTTAAATCATGGCAAACTCTACCACTTCCCCTTGGTCCCAGCTGCACCCGGGAGAGCAGGAGGGCACTGATCGGCCAAAGGCCAACACTGGCCTGCCTCCTGCCGGGAGTCGCACCAAAGCAATTTCCCATGGGCTTGTTCATGGAACATCTCTGCATGCCAGCTATATGCGAGGCACTGTTCTCGGGGGTCCGCAGTAAGGGAGACAAAAGGCTTGGGCCCCGAGAAGCTTGTAGTGGGAGACAGATGACAGTGGGAGACAGTTAATTGTGTGTGTCCACACACACACAGGACACAGAGCACCGGATGGCAGAAACACACGAGAAGAAACAATAAGGCTGGAAAGGAAGGGCGAAGGTGACACTGGGGAAGCCACACCCTCACCAGGGGCGGCCAGGCCACGTGTCCCCAAGAAGAGAACACTTGGTTTCAAAGCGAGAATAAAGGGCCCCAGAGACAGGATAGCAAGCAAGGCAGTTGTCTTGCACATGGCTGAACCAGGCAGAGTCCCTGGCATCCCACATGGTTTCCTGAGCCCCAGTGGAGGTGATCTGGAACACAGAGCCAGGAGTAAGCCCTGAGCAAGTGTGCCCCCACTCAAAAAAAAAAAAAAAAGAGGGGGATACAACAGTCTCTTTGACCTGGGAAAGAGAGCACTATCAACCATGAGCATCTTGGCAAGAAATAACTTGAGCCCATTGAGAGATGAGAGAAGACCCAAGCCCTAGACACATAGGGGGCCCTGGAGGATGCCCAGGAAAGGGCAGGCGAGGACACTCCTAGGGAACACAGGCGCTGGACAGTCCTGGCCGGGAGGCTGGCTCGAGCTAGCCTACCAGAAGACTTCTACCAGGACAGCCCTGGGGGACGGCATGAAAGCACGGGGCCAGGTCACACATAGGAAAGGCCGAATTTTCCCCAGGAAATCCTCAGCAGAGAAGATGAAAGAGGCTTAGGTCCCATATACCTGTTAGGTAGATTTTTACTTTTCTTGCATCTTGAATGGAAACAATGCTTCCATTCTCTGCTTTCTGCAACTTTTTTTCTACTACTTCTACTATCCCCTCCAGACTCTAGACCACTCTGACTCTCCCTGGCACACACTAAGAAAAAGAAGATGGACTTGTCCACCCCATCACACCCTCTCCAAAAGCACATTAGGACCAGAACACCCACTGAGGGGAAATATCCCCAGGTGACCCCCACCGACAGCCAGAGTTTCCCACAGTTATCTGCACCCAGTGACACCAATGGTGCTCTTCCCCCCACCCACCCACCACAGCCCGGAGGGAGTGTCCTCAGTCCGAAGGAACCCTGGGGACAGTCCTGTGCAAGTGAACATTCCTATCTGTTTCCATGCCTTAGGCTCCAAAGAGTCCCTGGGGGAGTGGGGGTAGGGGGGCCTGCAGGGCGCACGGTGGCCAGGGTCCACACTGGAGAAGCCAATGTCCATCCACACTGACTTCAGAACAAGGAGCTCATGAGTGAGGCTCGAGGGCAGGCCAAGTTCAAGTTCCCTGGCACCAAGAGGGATCCACGTCTCCAAGAAATGGGGCTGAACCACATTGCACGCTCGTGGATGAGCTTGAAGGCAGGGTGGCTGACCAGCAGTTTGTCTCAGACGGCCGTGGGGTCCAACATATCCTCATAGGGAGCCTCTGGACAGAGGGTGGGCACTGCACTCCTGAGAGTTTCAGAATCTGCCCCTCGACATGTTCCTGCTCCCTAAGTCTTCCCCTCTCACACACACACAAAATAAAAGTGTTGGCAAGTGGAAGGAAAAGCTATTCACTGCCATGGCACATTGAGGCTGGGACATGGGATGTCAGGGGGTGTCAGGACACCCGGCGGGGGCGGAGGAGAGGGGAGCAGAATCACACAGCAGTTTCCCAAGCTTCTCTAAGCCCCCTCCCTCACCAAGAGGATGAAGGTTCCTGGGCAATGGTCAGGATGCCAGTGGCATGGTTCCTTGGGAGCAACGGGGCCGGTACAAAAATTAGGCATCCAGAAGCAAGCCACAACCCCCCCCCCCAAACCCCCACCCCTCAACTCTCCATACCTGAGCGGCCTTGGCAAAGGTGGGGCCGTGGTAGCGGCCGCCAATGCGCAGCACGTCCTCCGTGCAGTAGAAGAACTCGGAGAAGCCGTAGAACTCGCTGTTGTTGAAGTCGATGGGGGACTGGTAGATGCCGTTGAGCGAGGCCTGGCTGGCGTTGGAGCGGAGCAGCAGGGGGCTGAGCAGCGCCCCGCACGTGGCCCAGTCGCCCTTGCCCCGGATGTGCAGGACCCGATCGCTCCTATGCACCACATCGGTGAGGCCCACGGGCAAGCAGGGATCCAGGAAGGGGTTGTCGGGACTCAGACCCGTTCTCTGGCCCAGCAGCCTGTGACCACAACAGGGAACCGCTCATCAGACTGTGGCACGGGGGCTCTCCTCGGCCCGCCCCGTGAACGTGCCCCCTGCCCCCCACAATCTTGTTACATTATTATGATCATCTGTGCCATCCAGGCAGAAGAAGGGGGCACTCAGCTTAGGACGTTTGATTGGGCTGAAAGAAAAGGAGAAAGGGCGGGAGGGCGCGGGGACAGTCAGCGGTGGTCAGTTCCCGGGCCACGTGGATTTCCACAAATGTGGTCAAAATGAAATGGGATGCAGTTCCATCCCGTCTCTCTGCCCACTTGCCTCTTGAAAAACAATAAGGCTCTCACCATGCTGAGAGAGGCTCTAGCATTTTGAAAACGCAAGTGGGAGAAGACGATTCAAGGCCGGGGGCGCCTCCTAAGGCGGCAGGGCAGGGCTCCAGGGGGGTGAGGGAGAGGGACGGGTCATGACTGCCACTGAGGCCCGGCAGAGTTCGGGTGGTTTCACTTCTGTACTGGCCCGGACGCAGAATTCTCCTCCCTGAAGGCACAAACAGGGGCCGAAGCGAGGGGAGCACTGGGAAGGGACAACGCTGGTGTGAAGCGTTCCTGGTTTCTCACAAGCCTCGGGGCCAGCAGGAGCATTCTGTACTTGTCCCCTGCTCCAGGGCCACTTACAAGGACCTGAAGATGTTCTCAGAACACAAACACAGTGGGCCGGAGAGAGATCAGGAAGTAAGGCTCCTGCCTGGCACCTGGCTGACCCCTGAGCACGGCCAGGGATCACTCCCAGGGATCACTCCCAAGCACAGAGCCAGAAGAGCACCGAGAGCCACCAGGTACGCCCCAAAACCAACAAAAGGAATGGAAACATAGTGCTTCATGCTAACACATCCAACTATCATCTGGAACAACAGAATTCTCCCAAAGGCCCTGGAACTCTTAGTACTTGGCTTGCAAAAAGAAAAACAAACCAAAAAAAAACCCCTCGTGAGACAATATTTTCATTAGCATGTTCCAAATCTACAGTAACTGAGTGCTGTAGGGAAATCACTCCAAATGTGTATGTCATTCTCCAAATTAGTGTTTTCGGCTAAAGGAATGGAGAGAAACAACTAGAATAGAAAGGAACGCAGACCAGAAGAGAAGAGAGGAGCAAAGAACTCATTCTGTCTGCTTTCCTTTGACGTGCATGATGATCAAAGAATTGTCTTTACTTTCTGGTCTATTTCACCAGGATACGCACTCAGCAATCTCGACACACTGGAGCAAATGCTGGCTGGTCTGGACTTAATGCAAATAAGACTGATCTCAGGGAGCCTGGAGACCGCCAGAATGACCCTTGGCAGTGCCTGGGAGGACATGCAGTGGCAAGGACTGAACCTGGGGCCCTGTGTGTGCCAGTCAAGTCCTCTCACCCTTTGAGCTCCTCCCTCAGCCCCCAAAGATCAGTTTCTGTGCACAATGCGCTTTGGATCTTGCACATGCTCGACGACCCCAAGTCCTTCCAAAGATTCGGCTCCAGTGTAATGCCACAGACACAGCTCCCCGCTTCCATGCAGAAGGAACAAGGGGGAAGTGACCTACTACAGCTGGGGCTTCAATTAGTGAGTGACTTAATTAAGCCTCACCTGATGCCACCGAGTCTGCAGTGACAGGTTATGACGATAAGCAGTTATACTTTTTCCAAGTCCTTAAAGAGCACAGTACCTGCTCAGCCCGTGACCTCCACGCAGTCAAGGGTTTCTAAGAAGTTACCCTACTGGCAGGGGCAGTCAGGCAGGAGAAACAGGCAAGTACATATCTCTCTTAGCAGCATGAGAATACGGCTTCCTAAGTTCTGTAGCATAAGCTATGCTCTGCATCAGAAACACGGACACACGCCCCAACACACACACACACACACACACACACACACACACACACACACACACACACACACACACACACACACACTCCCAGCAAATAAATACCTGTTTTTGTGAAGCGTTTCATTCAGCACCAGGTCTTCATAGCGCTGCCGAGCATAGTTGCCTCCAAAACCCAAAAACGTGGTGACGTAGACCCGATACACGTGTTCTGTGTGCTGTGCATCACAGCCCAGGTTGAACTCGGCCAGCAAGATCTTCGCTGCCTCTTCCTGTAACAGGACATAGAGAGAAAGAAGCCAATCTGAGTTCCAGTGGCTTTCTGGAGAACTGTGACACTGCTAACGTACCAGGCTCGTTTGTTATGACTGCTTTTCTCATGACACCATTTTTACCTCCACAGCATTATTGTGTGTGTGTGTGTGTGTGTGTGTGTGTGTGTGTGATGCGATGCCAAGGATCACAAAATTACCAGTGATTGCCATAGAGGCATGGGGAGGGTGGGAAAGGGGGGGGGGACATACCACGGATATTGGTGGTGGGGAATGTGCACTGGTGGAGAGATGGGTGTTTGATCATTTTGTGACTGTAACCCGAACATAAAAGCTTATAACTATCTCACAGTGATTCAATAAAATTTAAAAAAAAATTTACCAGTGAGTAAATTTTTGGTCCAAGAGAAATGAAGACTTTTTCCTGTTTTGACTTTTGTGGCGCCAGGGACAGAACCCGGGGCTTCACACTTGCAAAAAAAGTGCTGGGCCTCTGAGCCACATCCCCAGCCCTTTCATGACATTGGCTTCAATGTTATGAATAAATGTTATTCCTCATTTACTCCCTTTTGCCCTCAGGGTTCTTGCTCCCATTCCCGACCTTTGCTCCAGGCGGCTTCAGCTGTTCTACAGTGCACAGAAACTGCTCAAAGTGGGTAAAGGACCGAACAGGACCTGTATTGCAAACCAGAATGCCCAAAAGGGAGCGGGGGGGGGGGGGGGGGGGGGGGAGAGTGAGAGAGAGAAGGAAAGTGCCTGCCATAGAAGCAGACGTGGGGGCGGGGGAGGAGGGCAGAGGGATACAGGGCATATTGGGGGTGAGACATGTATACTGGTGGAGGGATGGGTGTTGGAACATTGTATGACTGAAACCCGATCATGAAAGCTTTGTAACTGTATCTCATGGTGATTTAATTTAAAAACAAACAAAACAAAACAAACAAACAAAGAAAAAAAACGGTTTGCATGGGAGCCAGAGTGATAGCACAGCAGATAAGACATTTACCTTATGGCCGACTGGGGTTCAATCCCCGCATCCCATATGGTCCCCCAAGCAACAAAGCAAAAAAAAGAAAAAAGAAAAGAACTGCCTTGCTTGCAGCCAACACAGATTCAATCCACAGTGCTGCTTGGAGTGACCCCTAAGCACAAAATTAAGACATGAACATTGCTGGATCTGAGAAAGAAAGAAAGAAAGAAAGAAAGAAAGAAAGAAAGAAAGAAAGAAAGAAAGAAAGAAAGAACTATTGCTGTACTGAGTACACTGTTCTTCTGCCCAGCTATTCCCATCTACACAAGAGAACTGAAAACTTAGGTCTATACACTCTCGGGTAAGTGCAAATCCGTATCTCCAAGAGTTCTGTCAGCTATCTGGACACTTGCTTCTCAGCCATCTCAAATACAGTGTTCCACAAACAACTTCACAAACCGCAGGACTCCAAGGCTCGGCTCACAACCAGAAAGATGGTCTCATCCAAGCCATCCAGGTCACTTAGGTTCGTTCAGCACCAGCCCTGCCCTTTCCAAGTGGCCTGTCTCTCAGTAACTGGCCTTCTCAACCTTACAACTAGTTATCTAGGCAGGACCCTCAGGGTCCACCCAGCCTGTATCATTACTTCAAAATATCCCTTGAAATCTAAATCCTCCCTTATCCAGTTCACACGGTCTACTTTTCACTTCTCACCCAGGGTTTTCTGATTTCATTCTTTCTCCTACTGATTCCAAAATTACCATCCTAAGAAGAGAGAGTGGGTCACAACCCCCATATGCAAACTCAGTGCCTTGAGTTAATTTCTCCAGCTCTCAAAATGCATTTTTAGGGTTGGAAAGAGAGTACAGTGGGTCGGGCACTTGCCTTACAAGTGACCAACCTGGGTTTGATCCCCAGCATCCTACTGAGCACTGCCAGGAGTAAATCCTGAGTGCAGAGCCAGAAAAAAACCCTCGGGATCGCCAGGTATGGCCCAAGTGTAGGCCAGGTGTAACCCCAAAACCCACCAACCAACCAAAACATACATTCTTTACATCCCAGTCAAGGAAGAAAATTAGAAGCAAAGGAATGTAGGGTAAGGGGATTAAAAATGTTCCTAAAAATATTAGTTAAATAAGAATTTATCAAATACATGCCCTGCCATTTTATATGTATTATCATGGAGGAGGGTGGGTTGAGTTTCCCTCCCCACCCCGAACAGAGCACCGGCAGCTGAAGACCTCTGGTTCCAGCCACAGCCATGCTTAAGACCAATCTCCACACGTTCGGACAAGCCTCACACATTAAGGAACTGGCAGAGGAACCCAGGAGTGTGGGACCCGGGGCATAGATCTCCAAGCCTGCTCAGATTGGGACTGGGCCTCCTCCACCCAGATCCCCCATCTTCCAGTATGTAGGCGTTACACCCACCAACTGCCCCTGGTCGTGTTATCCCATCAATGGCCAAGACCCAGAGACTATAAAACCCAGCTCCCTGAAGTGCGCAGCCGCAAATCATCTTATTATCTAGTTCTTACTCTGGAGAACCTGGCAGGCTACCAAAAGTATCCTGCCCACACGGAAGAGTCTGGCAAACTCCCCGTGGCATATTCAATATGCCAAAAGCCAGTAACAATGATGAGTCTCATTCTCCTGACCCTGAAAGAGCCTTGAATGTGGCACTTTCTAAAATCTCAGGGCTAGGACGAAGGAGACATTACTGGTGCCTGCTTGAGGAAATCAATGAACAACAGGATGACAGTGATACAGTGATATCATGCATTTTATATGTATTATAGGACTACATACAGGCAACTCTAGGAGATTGGGGGCACATGTGTAACTTCTAAAAGCTATAAAAAATTATGGTGCCAGAGAGACAGTCCAGCGGGTAGGGCAGTTGCCTTGCATGTGGCCAACCCAGGTCAGATTCCCGGCATCCCCAAATGGTCCCCCAAGCAGCTACAGGAGTCATCCCTGAGCAGAGAGCCAGGAGCAAGCCCTGCGCACAGCCAGCTGTGGTTGCTCCCGCACCTCCCCCCCCCCACCCAAAGTAAAAAGAATCAAAGCTATTAAACATTACATGCTGGACAACTTGCCAAGTGCTTTAGACACACTGCATCTGTAGCATAACTTAATGAAGCAGGAGATAGTATCTATTTCCTTTCCGCCCATGAGAAAATGAGACTCCGCGAGGTAACTGATCAAGAGCGTGTGAGCAGGGCTGGAGCTATAGCACAGTGAGTAGAGCGTTTGCCTTGCACGCGGCCGACCCGGGTTCGATTTCCAGCATCCCACATGGTCCCCCGAGCACCGCCAGGGGTAATTCCTGAGTGCAGAGCCAGGAGTAACCCCTGAACATCTCCGGGTGTGACCCAAAAAGGCAAAAAAAAAAAAAAAAAAAAAGCGCATGAGCTTCCAAGTTTCTGAACACAGAAGTAAGACCTGAACTTCGCTGGACGAGGCTCAGAGAAGAGTGGAGTTGACACAGTCCAAAGATATGTGCTCCCGCCATCTCGAATACCAACAAGTGAACCTCCCCAAAGACAAGATACCTGTTTCGGAGGAAGGAGCGTGGTCGAGGGAGGAACCTCGTAAGCAATCTGGAGAGAGGCGCCTCCCATGTCCAGTATCCCGACAGTCCTCTTGCGCCCCGATGTCAGCTCCTGGGGCGCTTCAGCACCCGATTCTAGAAGGGAACAGGAAGGGTCTAGCATGTGACAAGGAAGTCAAAAGGGGGGTGGGAGGAGGTGGGAACCAGCAATCTTTAAAAAAACTGAAAGCGACTTGCTCTGCAAGCCCCTGCCCACCATTGGCCATGGACCTCACTTGCTTGTCCTGGGCATCTTGCTTATTTCCACTCTGGAGAAGCCTGAGTGCTCTCCTGAACACATTTCCTCTTTTTCTCTCCTCATGCCTTTCTAAGCGAGATTCCTGAGTGCAGAGCCAGGAGTAACCCCTGAGCATCGCAGGCAATGACACCGCCCCCCCCCCCAAAAAAAAAAGAAAAAGAAAAAGAAATGGTAAAAAACTGAGCCTGGGTCATTTATTTACAAAGGTTCTTTTTTTTGGGGGGGGGGTCACACCCGGTAATGCACAGGGGTTACTCCTGGCTCTGCACTCAGGAATTACTCCTAGCGGTGCTCAGGGGACCATATGGGATGCTGGGAATCGAACCCAGGTTGGCCACGTGCAAGGCAAATGCCCTACCAGCTGTGCTATTTGCTCCAGCCCCACAAAGGTTAACTGAATCATTATCTTTTGTGAATGTTTAGAATTTTCCATATCAGGACTTTAAAAATAAATAATATGTTTTTGTCCATTTTGGTGGCTTGGAACACAACCCAGCATCTCCTACTTGTGAAGCCTATGCTCAACCACTAAATCAGTTTAAAAAGTAAATCAGGCCTGGGGAATGAATTAAAAATTAAAGGTACATTTTTTAAAAAGAATAACTTAAAATTAGAACAAATAGGGGCCGGAGCAATAGTACACAGGTGTTTGCCTTGCACACAGCCAACCCCGGTTTCCTGGCATCCCATATGGTCCCCCAAGCACTGTCAGGAGTAATTCCTGAGTGCAGAGCTAAGAGGAACCCCTGAGCATCGCCTGGGTAGCACTGTAGCACTGTCCTCCTATTGTTCCTCGATTTGCTCAAGCAGGCCCAGTAACGTCTCCATTGTGAGACTTGTTACTGTGTTTGGCATATCGAATACTTCACGGATAGCTTTCCAGGCTTTGCCATGCGGGCAAGATACTCTTGGTAGCTTGCCGGGTTCTCCGAGAGGGGCAGAGGAAACAAAACCCGGTTTGGCCAGGCCGGCCTCGGGCAAGGCAAACGCCCTACCCGCTGTGCTATCTACTGAAAGGTTATGACTTACACTTTCAATCCTTAAAGAACTGTCACATAAGACAGGATTACTTACCATCCTCGTGGTCAAATCGTCCCAAAACAAAGTTGATTCCAATCCATGCATAAACCCCTAGGAGAAAGGGAAGAGCCTCCGCTTAGCTCTCCTCTGCTATACCAGGCCAGAGCCTCTCCCCAGTGCCTCCTCTGCACCATTCTTACAAAGCACATGATGATGAAATTTCACCCCAGCCTCTCAGAGCATGAATCAAAAATGACTGGTTTTGCCACATCTTTTCTTTCTCTTTTTAAAACTATTCACAGGTTCTAAATTTCCTCTGGTGAACAGAAACTAATGTCCAGAAACAGAAGTTTAAAATTTTTAAATCTTTTTTAAATCAAGGCATCTTGGTCCTGGGCTAGAAGGAATAAATCACATTTCATGTGATTTCCCCAACAGATGAAGAAAAACAAACAAACAAACAAACAAATACCCAGACTCTGGGTAGAAAGCATGGTAGGGCGTTCTGAAAATTCTGAAGGTACCTGATAACAAGAACCCGGGGACAGAGAACAGAAGTGAAAGCACCAGCTGACCAATAGTAAGCCTCCCTCCCTCTCCCATCCCAAAATTGCCTGGTCAGCTTGGAACTCAGAGGTGCACAAGTGGAGTGTACAGGAAGAATGCTAAGGACTTTGCATCTTGTTTCAAGGAGCAAAAGAGGAACCCCAAAGTTTCCAAAGGAGTGAAAATCCTTTGATGGTTGGTTTGTTTGTTTTAAACGGGGTGTAGGGGGGAGGCTGGGGGAGCCCACTGGTGCTCACGGCTTACTCCTGGCTCTGTGATTAGGAGACCATATAGGTGCCAGGGACTCCAAGTCGGCCATGTGCAAAGCAAGAGCCCTACCCACTGTATCATCACTTAGCTTCCACTTGAATTTTTTTTTTTAAAGTTTTTGGGCCATACCCAGCAATGCTCAGGAGTAACTTCTGGCTCTGCACTCAGGAATTATTCCTGGTAGTGCTCGGACGACCTTGTGGGAGGCCCTGGGATCGAACCTGGGTCAGCCGCATGCAAGGCCAGTACACTACCCACTGTACTATCCTCTCTGCCTTCTCCCACTGTCCATTAGATTTTTTTAAAGTCCTGTCCCCTGCCAGGCAGCCTGCAGCAGGAGAGGTAGAGACCAGACAGGTGTCCAGCACTGAGATGGGGACTCCCTCTCTCTGCTCAAGAGCCAGCGGACCTGCAGTTTTGTCTCCTCTCTCTGTCCTCTGTTGTGTGGTCCTCCATGATCATGGACATGGAAGGTGACTTTCTGATCTGAATGTTAGTCTTGGGAGCAAGAAATGCCTGGGAGATCATGGAAGAAGGGAAGGATCTTTGGGGAACAAGCCGTTGTGCTTAGCTTCAAGCAACAAGCACACATAGATCTGCCCTAAATGTAGGCCTAAGGGTCTGGGTGGGTGGGTTGGTTGGTGTTGGGGGCCTATCGACAATTCTTTTAAATGGGTTCTGTCCAGGTTCAAGGCTGGGCACTGGCAGCACAGACAAGTTGTAATGCCAAGGCTTTAAAGATGAATCCAGGGGCTGGAACAATAGCACAGCAGGAAGGGTATTTGCCTTGCATGCAAACCTAGGTTCGATTCCCGGTATCCCATATGGTCCCCTGAGTACCACCAGGGGTAATTCCTGAGTGCATCACCGGGTGTGACCCCTCCCCCCCCAAAAAGAAACCATAGAATTACAACCCACTGAAGATGGGTGAGAACATGAGACTTGACCCTAATCAGGTCTGCTGTCTGCTAGAACCAACCCCCCAGAATAAATATTCCCTTTAGGATTAACAAAAAAACAAATGGAGTTTTAGGACTAAAGCATACCAAGCTAAGATTGCAAAAGGTAGATCTTTTCCCTAATGGGGACTGAAAGATCTTCTCTTTTTCACAAAACGGAAACTATTTCTTCACCCAGACCACATCTGGGTGGCCCTAAGAGCACATGTTCAAGACGTTAACCCCAGACTCCATTAGTGTGGGACTTCAGGAAAGTATCAATGTTACAGAGTTAGTGAAATAACATGAGAGCCCATTACAAAACCAGAGTAACTCACCATTCCCTGAAATGAAAGTGCCCCTTGCTTAAGGCTTGAGACATTTGCTTTATATGCTCAGTACGTCGCCTGGGTGCAAGTTTCAAAACAACAAATAGCTAAGCAAAGACCTATTATCGCTTATCCCTGAATAGTAAGGCATCCTGAGAAGCACAGTATTTTTCACACAAAGTTTAAAACTGAGGCTGGAGAGAAAGTTCAGCGGGGAGGGCACTTATGTTACACATAGCCAACCAGAGTTCAATCCTGGCATCCCAGATGGTCCCCCAAGCACTTCCAGGAGTAGTTCCTGAGTGCAGAGCCAAGAGTAACCCAAGCATCACCTGGTATTGCCCAAAAACCCATAAGAAACACACACACACACACACACACACACACACACACACACACACACGTGTATCATTTTTAGAAGCCATGTTCCAGAGTAAACATCAAAGCAAGAATATGCGACTAACCACATAAAACTGTACAGCCAAATCAAGAAAACTCTCATAAAAATTAAAATTAAATAAGTAAAGTAATCCTCTAGCTACAGCGAGTGTCACAAGCTGAGCCTGCACACCCCTCAGAGCCCAGTACCTTCCTGCTTCCCAGAGATCACTTCCGCCTGAGATTGGGAAAAGAGGAAGTCAAACTCCAGAGGTAAATCTTTCACTAGATCATTCAGGATAGCGGACTGCTTCCTGCAAGAGAACAAAAAAAAAGAAAAGCAAAAGTTAATCATTAAACTCCTCCTCATCATCCTGACCTTCGACTAAGCCTTGCCACCACTCACTTTTTACCTGCCTCTACCACTTGGTTCTTCCACCAACTTCTCCCTGGTTCCAAAGGTTTGAACCACCTCCCCAATCTAGCCTCTTACTCACAGGATGACAAGGTTCTAGCAGTATGTCTCCTCTCTCTAATGTTATAATCCAGACGACAGTGTGAAAGATGAAACTATACAGGGACCAGAACACTAGTACAGTGGGGAGGGCGCTTGCCTGGCATGTGGTCAACCTGGGTTCGGTTCCCAGCATCCCATATGGTCCCCCGGGCACTGACAGGAGTGATTCCTAGTACAGAGTCAGGAATAACTCCTGAGTATCGCTGGGTGTGGCCCCAAAACAAACAACAAAAAGACAACTGAAAACATGAAAGATGAAACCATGATGTGACACCTCTCATAGGGTAAGAATGAGCCACAAGAATCTGAAGTCCAGTTCCCTAATCTATAAAATGGATGCACGGACAGTGTTCTTACTGTGGAAGGAAGCTGGCATGTCGTACCATCCTCAAATCTTACACAAGCCAGCAACAATGCCTCACAATTCCACAAGAAGTAAGTACTGTTAGATCCACAAGTTTTTTTACATGATCCTTTACATAAACTAACAATGGATGTTTTCATCCCTGCTTCCATATTTCAAAAAAGGTTCAATTTTTAATCTTTATAAAACATGTTATCTGACCTCTTTGGGTTCTTCAGATAACACATTTTATAAAGATTAAAAATACAAAGGTGATAATATCTTAGGGAAATAGTTGAAGCTTCGTATATCTGTAATTCTTTTTCCTCTAAAGTTTTATGTTATCTGTAGTATGAGACAAAGGAAAATAAAGAAACCAAACTGGAATAATGTGAATCTGGAGAAAACGTTGTTTAAAAGAACATGATTGCCACTCAGTGCCTCTTTTGCAAACCACAGCACCCAAAAGGAGAGAGAGAACAAAAGGGAATGCTCTGCCACAGGGGTGGGGTGGGATGGGGGGTGAGGGGTGGGAGGGATGCTGGGAGCATTGGAGGTGGGGAATGGGCACTGGTGGAGAGATGGGTACTCGATCATTGTATAACTGAAACCCAAGCACAAAAATTTATAAGCCTACAACTGTACCTCATGGTGTTTCACTAATAAAAATTTTTTAAAAAAAAAGGACTAATAGGGGTCTTAGTGATAGTACAGTGGGTAGAGTACTTGCCCTTCATGCCAGCCTAGGTTTAATTCCCGGCATACCCCTCCCAAACACAAACACACACCTGTCTCCTAGCTTGCCAGGAATGATCTCTGAGCACAGAACCAGAAGTAAGCCCTGAGCACTGCCAGGTGTGGCCCCAAAACCAAATAAATAAATTAGGCCAATCATCTCGGATCTTTCACATTATTCATTACAAAAATGTTCTCAGGGTTAGAGGATAGTACAGTGGGCACTTGACTAGCACGTGACCGACCCAGTTCAATCCCCAAGTCCCTACTGGAGTGACTCCTGAGCAAAGAGCCAGGAGCCAGTCCTGAGCACCGCAGGTGTGACCCGGAAACAGAAGCTGACAGAAGACAGCTGCCTTTCCCAGGGGAACCCTTCTCCCTGCCATGCCAGAGACTGAGCCTGACACAGGTGGGTGGGTGGAGGGGGCGGTGGGGGCGCTCTGCCCAGCTTCTGAGCCCGGTGGCCTCTACCGCTGCCTCCCCATGGTGGCACAGGGCAGGGAAGGGGAACCCCAGTCCTCAACCTCCACGGCCCCTGCACGGCCCTCTTCTCACCTCCCAGGCAAAGGACACAGATCAGACAGCGGCCCCCAGCCCTCGGCCCCACGTCCCCTGCCCGGACCCCTCACCTCTCGGGCAGCAGCCGCATGCCCGCGGTGCACAGGATGTACAGGGGCGTCTCCTTGTGCTTCCTCACGGGCACGTGTGCGGCCGCGAAGCTCAGCAGCGGGCGCAGGTAGTCGCTGGCGTGCTCGGGGGTGTCGGCCATGGCAGAGATGCCTGCGGTAGAGGAAACGACCCCCCTTTGGAGGAGGGGCCCGGCCACCCCAGGCTCCGCCTCCTGCATGCCCCCACCCCTGGGCCAGGAGCCCAAGGGACCCGGGTTCGGGTTCGTGGCCGCAAGCCAAAGACCACTCAGGCCTCCAGAAGCAGCAGGGGTGCCCGCCTCCCGCCCTCTGGGCACCTGTGCCCACCTGTGCGTGTGGGACGTACCTGGCTTGATCTTTTTCACCACCGGCTGGCTGTTGCGGTCCCTCATCTGTTTGATGTCCAGGAGGTCGTGGGGGTTCCCGTTGTGTTTGGGCCAGAAATAGACAAATATCCGGGAGCCGCTGCTGCCACAGTCCACAACCAGCCCATAGCTGAGGTTTGGGTCTTCTGTGTCCGTGGCTTCCAGGTCCCCGACTCGCGCCAGATACCTGAGCCAGGCAAAGACAGAGGCACGGCTGAGGAGGACCGATCCTCCAACGCAGCCCCCTTCAACCTCTCCAGACCACTGACCATTGAAAAGGGGAGAAATAATTCACGGACCCACTGACAGTAAGACAGAAATGAAAACCAAACATTTTCCACTTTTAGAATCCAGTGTTAAAAAATATAAGTTTGGGGACTGGAGCAATAGCACAGCTATTACTGTAGGTAGGGTGTTTGCCGTGCACGCGGCCCCGGCCAAACCGGGTTCAATCCCCAGCATCCCATATGGTCCTCCTGAGCACTGCCAGGAGTGATTCCTGAATGCAGAGCCAGGAGTAACCCCTGAGCATTGTCGGGTGTAACCCAAAAAAAGAAAAAAAGAAAACACAAGTTTTAGCTACTGCGGCATCTGCTGCTTGGAGCCGAGCTCCGTGGTTGGGCTTGGGGGTGGCTGTCTTTGTGGCCCAGTGCCATGGAGACGACCATAGGGTGAAGAACTGGGCACTAGAGGCAGCTCTGCTGTATTCACTGGTTCCTGAGTCTTCATCATCAGCAACATGTGCCAGGCTCCTGCCACCATGTCTCCTAATGACAGGCTGAGACAGTCTGTGCTTGCTGATGTATTCAAGATAACAGCTGGTGTGTCTGTAGGGAGGCCACTAACAAGGAGAAGGATGACTCCTCCACTCTGGGCTCTGTGCTGACCCTGGCTGGTCAGCAAATCTTGTACCACCAGCAGTACCTAGCTGGGCTGATCATTACGACCCTCTAAATTTGGGGTCACTTTGCTATGCTCACTGTAGTACTGTAGCACTGTCCTCCCGTTGATCATGGATTTGCTCGAGCATCAGTAACGTCTCCATTGTGAGACCTGTTGTTACTGTTTTTGGCATATCAAATACGCCACGGGAAGCTTGCCAGGCTCTGCCGTGCGAGTGAGATACTCTCTGTAGCTTGCCGGGCTCTCCGAGAGGGGTGGAGGAATCGAACCCGGGTCGGCTGTGTGCAAGGCAAACACTCTACCTGCTGTGCTATCACTAGAACACTAAAATAAGATGAACAACCTCTGTTTGGGTGGGGGGGTAAAAGGGGGAGGAGAGGTTGATAGTGTGGGGAAGAGAGGTTTGGGATGAGTCAAAAAAGTGCTTCTGAGCCCGGGCTTTAATTAACACTCAAGTTCCCTGGGACCCTGAGGGTCTGGAAAGTACATTCCAGTCCCCTTTCAAAGGCTAGAGCCCAGAGAGACAGGGGAGGGCGCTTGCCTTGCATGCAGCTGACCGGATCGCCCCTCCCTCCCCCCATCCCATTATGGTCCCCTGAGCACTGCCAGGAGTAATTCCTGAGAAGCCCTTTTGCTTCTCTCAGGAGTTAACTTCTGAGCATCGCCTGCGTGTGACCCAAAGACAAACAAACAGAGGCTTTGGATGCAGAGGGGCCCGGTAAGAATGGCTCATAGAATACTGCTCAAAAAAAAAAAACCTACTGAAAAAATAAACTGAATCAAATAAATTTTTAAAAGTAAAGGAGAGCTCCTTCTTGGTGCTGAGAGTACCTATTATGCAGGTGGTAGGCATGTTACAACTCTCTTTTGAAATTCCTTGAAATCTGAGTACTACTCTGAATTGTGCCCAATCAGATCTCAATCCTACCCCATCCCCCTCCTAATAAACTCTAAATCCTACCCCCAACACCACCACCCGCCCACCCTTTACATGCTGGACCCGTTTCATCTTCTACAATACAAAACACGTTTGGGGGGACGGCCTCCTGGCAGAACTTGGGGGACTGTGTGACTTCTGCCCGCAGGCTCTCCAGCCCCTCCAAAGGCATTTGCTTAAGGGAAGAACAAGGGTTTGCATTTCATGATAATGTTGTAAATTATTGCCCTAGATAAGGTGAGTTGGTTTTTTTTTTCCTGGATCTGAAATGAGAGTGAGCTATGGGAAAAGCAGCAGGTGGTGACCCCTGGTTCCATGTCACCCTCCTTTCCCTTCCTTAGCAACCTGCCACAGCCACCCACCACCCCGGGACAGCTCATGCTGACCTCACGGCAGGAGGCCAGCCACTGGGCAGACACCTGCACAGAACGACCAGCCCCAGACACCTGCACAGACCGACCACAGGAGACGCCCCGACAGGCGGGAAACAGGCCAGTCGGTCCATCTCCAGCTCAGTTCCCACTTTTCATTCCCTGCCCTCGAGAGCCTTGCCCTGCCGGGAGCTCTCTCTGAAAATCAGCCCTTCTGCTTCTCTCTCATCGTCTCCATGCCTTCCCTCCTGCTTCTCTTCTAAGACAAAAGTTCTCAGATTAAGGGGCGGCGGGCGTGGGGGGGAATGGATCTTGTTTTATGTTGGTTTTTGTTGAGCTTTGCTTTATTTCATTTTATTTTCTTCCCCTGACTCCTCTTCATTATGGTGGAGTAAAGACTGGAGTCGGGGTGGGGGGGGGGGGGGTGCGGGTCACACCCATGCCAAGCTGCAGGGCTCACACATTTTTAACTATAATGCTTGCAGGGGTTTGGGAGTGGGGGATGGAGGCAGGGAGTGATACCCCAGGTTGTGGGACCCAAATACCCAGCCACGGTGCTCCTCAAAGGGCTGCCTGTGCTCCTTTCACTGTGGGGCGGGCACACCGCTCGCCAAGGTCATACTCCTGAGTCTGTGGTGCTGACCGGTGGGGGGTCTCAGTTCCTGGCCACAACGCCCCTTTATGGTCGCCTGGGCTCTGGGGATCACAGACAGCAGAGAGCTGCCAAGACTGCGAGCGATGCTGGGACGGCATTGGGGGTGGAGTCTGGATCTTGTGCTTGCGGGCCAGGCATGCTCGGTCACTGATTCTGGTCACTGGTTCCATGTGAGGGGCCCGAGGACACGACGCTGCTCAGGCCCTGCCCCGCTGGGGATTCTCCATACCACCCTGGGGGTGCATGGGGGCTTCCAAGTTACATGCCGTGACACACTGACAACCACCACTCTGCTGTGACTTTTCCTAATGTCCATCAGTTTCTCTACTTGCTGCGTCCCCGTCCCTTCTTTGACCAGGGCTCCTAGTTCTGCAGAAGCCTCCACTCACCGATGCTGATGCTTACCAAGACACAAACACACAACCCAACGCTTCCCCACGCTTGGCCAGGAGAAAAATCAAAGGGCTGGACTGTTCAGTTTGCGTGCAGAGGCCCAGGACTGATACCCCCCACCAACCCACCCCAGGTATCACATAGTACCCTGAGTATCTCCAGGGGTGGCTCTAAAACCAGAAAAATAAAACACACTAAAGCTGACTCTTAGGCTATCTAGAGGACCCCTCCTCTGGTCTAAAATGTTGGGGGCTGGGGCTGGAGCAACAGCACAGCCGGTAGGGCGTTTGCCTTGCACGTGGTAGACCCGAGTTCGATTCCCAGCATCACATATGGTCCCCCGAGCACCGCCAGGACTAATTCCTGAGTGTATGAGCCAGGAATAACCCCTGTGCAATGCTGGATATGACCCAAAAAGAAAATAAATAAATAAATAAAATAAAATGTTGGGGACTGAGAGATAGTACAGTGGGTACGGCATGCGGGCAGACCTGGGTTGATTTCCCGGCATCCCATATGGTCCCCTAAGCACTGCCAGGAGTAATTCCTGAGTGCAGAGCCAGGAGTCACCCCTGAGCATAGCCAGGTATGCCCCCAAACAAAAAAACAAAATAAAATAAAATGCTGAGTGTCAGTATTACGGAGCAGCTTGCTTACATTTCAGGAGGAGTCCCTGAGGCTTATTTTGCAGCTGCTGACCTCACCTCTTTATGTGGATTATCAGTTTCTCAAGAGCAATGACCTTATCACCATGGTTTTCTGATATGCACCAAGGCCGGTTTGGTTTGGCCCTGGAGCACATACTGGAAACAGGGTGATTAAGATCCCCTCTCTGCACTTGTAAGGCTGTAACAAAAATCAGCAGGTCTTAAAAAGTTTCAACAGCTTTTCAAAGAGTCCTGTACCCCCTTTGGCTCCTGTCATGAAACCACCTAGCAGCTCTGATCTGGGGACACTTCCGCCTTGCTTTGTTCTTCTCTTCAAAGTCTGCATATGTGCAGGGACAGAAAAAAACGTCAGCTGACTCTTGAATAGGAGAGAGGAAGACAAACCAGTGGCCACTTCCTATTTAAGGCTCATCTCTGCCCATTCACGCAGATAGCAGGAAGTCACTATTCTCCTCATCTTGCAGTGACTCAGAATAACTTACCCCCAGGGCTGTAAGAGCAGCATCTCTCTTGGGACTATGACCCCCCTGCAGCCTCGCCAGACTACTCACAGTTTTCAATCACCCAATACTTTCTTCTGTGATCCTTCCCCTGCCCAGCCAGGAGGGCTGGTCACTGCACAGCAGGACCCCCCTGTCCTGCAGATATTTCATGAAACCAATCCCTGAGAGGACCTAATCCCTAGGAAAAAAATTTCCAAAATCCCTCATATTTGCCTTCCCAGGAGACCTAATTCACCATTTACATGTAACAATCCTCTTGCGTGTGCACACACACACACACACACACACACACACACACACACACTCCCCTCTATCCCAGAAACACCCACTGGTTTACTGCTGAGTCAATGGAAAGAAAGTGAGCCATCTATACATCACCCAGGATAGAACGGGAAGACAATGGCTTTCCACTGCCATTATCCCGGAAACACTAATAGCATTAGAGCAGTAACTGACCAAGACATTATCTACCCTATAAAATCAGCACTAATTATACCACTTTTAGCATTTAAACCAAGTAATGTGCCATATATCCATCAACACAGCCCCCATCAGCAAGGAACTAGCTCTTTGCTGAATGCCCTCATACTCTTCACCTCCATTCAGGGGTCATAACCAAACAGAAAGACACCACAGCCAAGGCAGCTGCACATGACGGATGACCCATATGGGCCCAAAAAAGCTTTCGGTTTCGCTATTGCTTATCTCCTAATAAGATTATTAGGCACAATCGGGAACATGCATAGATCCATGCTCT